AGGTTGGGGTCGAGCTCAAAGCCTGTTTCAGGCTTGTCTGGAACCGTTATCAGATTATGTGCCAAACACAAGTTCAAAGTTTGATGTGTGAGAGATTTATTAAGTAAAAAACAGAAATAATTGCTTCAGACAAAACTCACCTAAACAAACAAACAAGAAAAAAATCGTATGGATTTTTCAGAAAAGAGGTACTGGGGGATGTCGCGTTCAGGGTTTGGGAGCATCCCCAAAGTGCAGTCAGTCATGTCATGTGGTGTGGTCTTTTAATCCCCTTGCAGGCTGGCACTGTTATGCCAAAGCAGGTTTCGTCAAAGGCCAGTGTGTGGGGAGTAATAACATAGCTTTCGGCTGCCTGATTACCCGGCTCCGTCCACTAAACTCTTGGCTCCCTACGCGGGGCAAGGAGGCCTCTGCATACAGCTGTTTCCCTGGGTCGCCAGGCTTGGCAGTTAGCGTGAAGGGTCTGACTCAGGCATCAGTGTGATTCATCCTGCGGCTCTGGCTGTTTTTAATGTCCACCTGAAGTGAGCCTGAGTGAGCAGAAGCGTGGGACTGCTTCCCCCTGGGATGTGGGTGTCACGGTCCCCATCATTGGCAGGAGCCACAGAAACGGGAGCCACTGAGAGCACTTCATCACCGGCTTCCATTACTTCTGCCATTGTGTGCTCAGGCAGATGAGTCGACCCCAGAACAGCCACACACGGAAAAGCCACCGAAGTGGCCAATCCAGCAAAGGGATCTTCCACACGACCATTTTGACTCTCTGTTAGCGTTAACAAACGCAACCTCCTCTGTGCCTGGAGCTCTACTGTGAGCTTTGAAATGCTGCAAAGTTGGTGTCAGTCACGCTTTTCTGAAGGTGTCGGTATGTGATTGGTGGGAGCTGGGTCCTGTACGTAGGTTGTCAGTTAACCAGTGTGGTAGTTTGAATGTAATTGGCCCCCATAGGCTCCTACGGAGTGGCACTATTCGGAGGTATGGCCTTGTTGGAGGAAGCATGTCACTGTGTGGGTAGACTTTGATGTCGCCTATGCTCAAGCTGTGCCTAGTTCATTCAGATCACTTCCTGTTGCCTGTGGATCAAGATGTAGAGCTCTCAGCTGCTTCTCTAGCACCATGTCTGCCTGCACGCCACCATGTCCCCACCATGATAATGGACTGGACCTCTGAACTGTGAGCCACCCCTACTAAATGTTTTCCTTTATAAGAGTTGCTGTGGTCACAGTGTCTCTTCACATCAGTAGACACCTTAACTAAGCAAAAACACTCAATTACATCAAATAAAAATAAATCTTTTTTACAAAGAAGGAAAGTAAAAGACATGTTTTTGCTTTAGGGGAACTTCGAGGTGTAGACAGGGCTTTGCATTTAGAGTTTAGCTTGAAGGTTCAAAGGCCAGTGCATTGAAAAATCTCCCCTGTGCCAGGCATGGTGGTGTGGGCCTCTAAGACGGAGGCATAAGATAGCAAGTTTGAGGCTTACCTGGGCTATATAGTGAGTTCAAGACCAGCCTAGGCTACAAAGCAGGACCTTGTCAAAACAAGACATAGTACATGCCTTGGGTCCCAGCACTATGGGAGGCAAAGGTCTGCAGATCTGTGTGAGTTCAAGGCCAGCTAGGACTACACAGTGAGACCCTGTCTCAAAGACACAAGATAGACAAAAGACAGCTGAACAACACAAACCAAGGCTTGGGATGCAGCTAAGTGATGGAGCCCTTGTGTAGCCAAACAGGACCCCAGGACTGCGGAAAGACACTCCCTCCCCCACCCCCTGTCTCTGTGGTCCTCTCTCCTCCCTCTGCACTTCCCACTGACTGCTCTTGGTGGTCACGTGGCTGCCAGTGTTGCTGGTTCTAAGGACAGCCCTCAGAAGCGCAGAGCACAGACCTGGGAAGCCCAGCACTCGGAAATTGAGAGGAAAGTGGGGTTTTTTCAGCCATCTGAGTGACTCTGTGCTATAAGTACGGTCTAGAACGCTAATTGTTCACAATTTCCCCCTTAATGTAGGCAATCATGAAACATGCTAGGTCTTTTTAAAAAAAGGTGATGGATGGTATTCCCAATTCGCACGTGCTTAAGTAATTCTCAGCTAGTTAGAGAGAGAGAGAGAGAGAGAGAGAGAGAGAGAGAGAGAGAGAGAGAGAGAGAGAGAGAGAAAGTAATTGCGGCCTCAGGTAGCCTAGAATCCTTGCCTTGTAAATGGAAGTTTTATTGCTGTCCTCAGGGAAACATGAGAGAAAAGTAGGTCACTCTGTGACTACCTTTGACCTGGTGGAAACTTCTGGGTGGGGGGCACTTAGTGCCTCTTTGCTGATGTCCTGTGAGTATAGTTTTCTGGGACCCAAGCAGCCCCTGCCCAGCACATGCTCACGGTGGCGTGAGCCCTGTCACCAGCAGGCTGCCCAGCACAGTCCGAGTCCCTTAAGGGGAGAATGCTCTTTCCTATCTGTGTCCGTCACACTGTCACTTTGTTTTGCTCTTGGCTAATTTGTAAGGACGAGAATTATGGGCATGGGCTTGGAAAGGGCTCCTTGTGAAGAAGCAGATTAGCTTATGTTATTTTATACTGGGGTGTGCGTGCGTGTTACTATGCATGAGAGAATGGATATTCAGGAAAGTAAGGAAGACCAAACTCAGTCTCAAATACTGTCCGGCCAGATGCAGAGCCGTCTGGAATGAGATCCAGGCAGTGCCTGAGGTGCAAGCGGTCAGCATTTGGTCTGTTCACCCTGTTGTCCCCGCACCTCCCCTCATTAGCCTAGGAAGTACTCAGACACCGGCTTTATAACTCCGTTTCCAGTGTTTCCCGCTTCTGTAGCGATCTGCTCTCTTCTGCCACGTTCCCAGCTGATGCTCTGTCTCCCCTGTGGCTTCCACGTGTTCACCCCTTCCCTCCCTCGTCATTTCAGCCTGTCGACTTCTCTCTGTCCACCTTTCCTTTTCCAGGCCGTGACAGCGTGCTGATGGTCTCTTCTGCAGAGACATTCTACTCGGCTGGGTCTAGAATGTGGCACTGCAGCCGCCAGGCCTCTGTGGTTGCCTTGGGGTCAGAGGCCAAGCTATTGTCCAGTTTTCTGTGGCAACTCACGGGGTCACAGGGTAAAAGGTGTGGCCTTGCTCAGGAGAAAACTGTGACTATGGCCGGCACACTTTGGCTGCTGTTCCCATAGCACGCCCTTAGAATCCACTTGGTATTTGGTTACACTCTCGACCAGATTCTAAGATATCAGAGAACGCCCTATCGGCCTAGTTCATTGTTGTATCCCTCAAACTTGGCACAGAGCTGGGTACACAGTAGGCACTGGAAAAATACTGGCTGATGAGGGCGGGAAGTCTATGATCTTAGATCTGTCGGGGACACAGTGGAAAAGGTTAAAAGAGTAAGGAAAATGCACTCGAGCAACTTTTTACCGAAGAAGTGAATCAATGCCTAAGTGGCGAGCCACATCAGGCTGCTCATCAGAAAAGCCCACACCAGAAAGCCTCCCTCCCGCTTCGTTTTACATTGTGTCGAGAAGCAGTGGTTACAATAACATCAAAGTTCCAGTTGCTCAGTTTTGTCCAGATACTGAGAGAGTTGCCTTAAGACTACAGATTCTAGGATTTCTCCTTCCCCACATGGGCTTTCAGCATCTGAAAAGTGACTGCAGCTTTCCTTCAAGAGAGGGACTTCAGGAACATTGTCAGGTTAGGGTCAGGAACATTTTATATATGTATAAAATGTTGACACATTTAATTGAGTGTCTAAGAGGACAGTCCACTGACTACAATCGAAAGGTGCATTTTGGGGCCAGTGCATCTTGATTTCTACATCCCCTCTTGATAACATGTCAACATTCAACCACCATCGCCAGTGACGGTCTTGGTTCTCTGTCCCATAGCTCCAAACTCAGTGGGTAAACTGAAGGTAGGAGAGGTCTCTGCTTGTCCTAAGCTGAATGTTTAGAATCCTCAGTTCTTCCCGGCTTCCCATTGGCCCTCCCTGATTGATTGGGACAGTTGTTTCGTGTCCTTCCCTCTGCCTGGTGCACATGAAAAGCCCAGCACACACCCTTGGCTGGAAATATCACTGTAAATCAATAAAGCCATTGCTTCAAGCCTTGTTTAAAATATCATCACAGGTGTGGCCATGAAATCCATAAACTGGTAGGTGTTATCTTGACTTCAGCTCAGCAGAGAGGAGGAAGAGAGAGGTAGAGGGGGAGAGGGAAGAGCAGAGAGATAGACAAAGATGCCCAGCCATAGCTGTACCAGAGAGTCGGAGTAAATGTAAACACTAGGACCGTATACACTCGGTTAAAACTCTGGTTCTGCCGCTTTACACTGTGACTTTAAGATACTTTAGAGCCTTACCGCTCTGTGCCAAGTGCAGGGCACTTCAGTGGCTGAGTGTTGGGAACAGGAAATATAAATGGGACTCTGTGGTACCTCCTATCTTGGGCCTGGCACGCAGTAAGCACTTGACAACTTTGGTGATTATTGTTATCAAATATATTCTTTTTTTTAACATTAAATCCACTAATGTATCTTTCCTTAAGTAATAAACTTTACAGACTGATTTAGGAGAGAAAGAGATAGTTTTTATCCTTGTGATATACAAAGTGGCCATAGGGAGACTCACAGTACTGACTCTCCAGGGGTTAAAAATGTCTTTTTTTTTTTTTTTCATACTGAGGATCTACCGCATATGTGCCAGGCAGTTCTGCCATTCCTTTTGACTTTGTATTCGGAGACAGTGTCTCACTGAGTTGTTCATCGTGTAACTCTCCTGCCACAGCCTCCTGAGGTGCTGGGATTGCAGGCCTGGCTACTTAGGAAACAGCCTGATCTGTACGTCCAAGCCTCTTCCGCTGAGTAGTTTATGAATTTAGAGGCTTTTCTAAGGAAGTGGTCCGTAGATCATCCTTCAGAGAACTGTGGGACTCACGGTGCAGTTTCCGGTAATATTGCCCTCCCCGCCTTTTAAACTAGTTTTGATTTTTCTTTCTGGTTCTCTAGGTGAGACGGGCATTGGCAAGTCCACGTTGATGGACACTTTATTCAACACCAAATTTGAAAGTGACCCAGCTACTCACAATGAGCCAGGTGTCCGGTTGAAAGCCCGAAGTTACGAACTTCAGGAGAGCAATGTCCGGCTGAAGCTCACCATTGTGGACACGGTGGGATTTGGAGACCAGATTAATAAAGATGACAGGTATGTCTTGGGAGTTTTGCGGCTACAGAAATGGGTCAGGGGATGGGCGGCTCAAGGAAGCTCCATCTCAAGGAAGCTCCAGCCCAGGTACATCCGAGGGCCCCGAAGACTTTGGGGGCAGAATTACCAAATAGTGTCTGCATAACACCTGGGAGGGTGGGCTGGGTCTAATGAGGAATGTCGATAAAATTGGATGAATTAAAATTTCCTCTACCTGGAAGTTTGTCTAATTAGGTAATTTATACTACAAAATCCTATGTATGTATGGGAAAATAACTCTTAATTAAAAAATAAAATGTTTTAAAAGCATTTCGGCACGGTGGTTTGTGCTCAGGTAGAGACTGCTCTCTACCAGTGGATTCTTGTGTAGTCGTAAAATCCGGCCCTGACTCATCACATAAGCTTGAAGCTCTATTGTAAAATTACCGCGGTGAGTTTTTATTTTGTGGCACACTAACTCATTTGTAAAGCCACATAAATGTGGGTCTTCACCGTGAGTGGCTGTTTGCCTCCCCTTGAGGGGAGCTGTTATTTCTTCGAACTCGCCAGAGTGGAATGTGTACGTTAACTGTCCTCTCAGGTGAACAGTGAACCTGTTCTCCGTTCTTAAGTTCAGATGTCTTGACTGTTTAAAATGTTCCACTTGTTCTCAAGCTGTTACCTGAACCTCCGGCCCATAACCCCGGCTGTAGTTTCCCTGTAGTCTAAAGGAAGTGGGTTTCCTTGCAGTCTGGCCAAACCAAGGAGAGAAAACCTCATTTCTACCACCGTGCCTATGGCAGCCTTGTAATTTATAGAAAACCACGAGACCAAGGCCAGACCTTGTAGATTTCATGGTCCTTGTAGGGGTGGCCTGAGACGGGTACTCAGCCCCGGGATGCCTCCTTGTCTCCCGCATTCTCGGTGTGGAGACCTGCTAGACTTTCAGGAGCTGTGCTCATACAAAAAGAGATTTAGGAAGACTAAAACCATCTCAGGCCCAAGGATGACTCTAGACACATTTTTGCGTAGTGACAGCATTATAGGGCTATCTCCCCCCTTAGAGTGGTCAGTAGTTGTGGGATGTTTTGCTTATAAACTGCGTCTGTGACAGTTTTTAAAGATCTCCTCAAAAATGGTGCGTGCGTGCGTGCGTGCGTGCGTGCGTGCGTGCGTGCGTGCGTGTGTGTGTGTGTGTGTGTGTGTGTTTCTGTGGATATATTCTGTAAAGAGGAGTTTGAAACCCTTTAATGTAGGAATGTGTGTCGTCTAGATACATTGTAACAGTGCCCAGCGGAAGTGAGTACTACAGTTCATGACAGAAAGGTGTAATTCGTTCTTTAGCGGAGCAGTGTGGTCTGTTTTATCTCAGAGTGCTTTAGACACTCTGCAGTAGACATTGTCCTGTGATAACACAGGCGACTGTTACTTTAGTGAAAGGGACTTCATTTGCATAGGATCAAAGTAGGGCCATCTGTCCCTCGCTGGGGAAGGGACAGCCAGGCTCTGACCTTCCCCTGACTTTCAGTGCCTAGGCATGGTGGGGAGGCCTCATCATCAGTGCCTCAGGGCCACTGTAATGTGAAGGTACCGCAAATGAGGAGAAAACTCTGGGGACCCGGAGAAGGGCACAGGTGCATTGTGGGAGCTGGCGACAGAGCCGGGGTGAGGGGAGTGGGGGGCTTCTGTTCCCTGCACTGTCCCGGACCGTGCACTGAGGAAAGCCTGTCTGAGGTCTCTTTGTGGGATAGATAGCTCTCTTCTGGGAGTTAGGGAATGTCATGTTTATGCATTCCCTGGCTGGATTCCTGTCAGGCTTCCCACAGCGTTGAGCAGCAGCAGCCTCCGTCTGGCATCTTGCTGCAGAAGCTGCATGTGCTCTTCCAGCTTGCAGTGGTGGCCTCGACACTGCCCCTGTTTTTTCTTTTTTCTCACCCCTAACCGAGACTTCCCCTGAGGCCGGTGGGTTTTCACTGGCCAGCAACCGGCTGCAAAGTAGCCAAGCTAGCACCAGGCAGATCCTCATATCTGCATCTGGAGCCCTCTTTAAGAAATTATCTGACTCATTTGGGTCAAATAATAGTTTCCAAGGAGACTCAAAGAGAGGAAGTGTGATATTAACCTAACCTAGATACCAAATATTTTTTTTTCCTCTTTAATTTCTTGACAACTCTTGCATAACCTTTTTGAATGACTTTCGGAGCTCTAGGCCCATGCCTCAAAAGGCGTTGTTGACAGTTGACTGTAAACTTAAATGACTTCTCTAAAAATAGTTGCTGGACAGTCTCTGTTTCCGTCAGAATATTGGAAGTGGGGTATGCATTTTTGCATCAGTGTGTAACCGTATAGGAATGGGGGATGCACTCAAAGCCAGGCTTATCTTTTTTCTGTTAAGCAAGCTTTTCTCCCATGGATTCAGGACATCAAGAATGTCCCAGTGTGTTTATAGACTTGGGACGTGTCGGCATTCTTGAAACATTATCTGCCTCTGACCTGGCTAGCTAGAAGGAGGCAGGAAGAGGGGCCTGGGAGGATTTCCTGTTATGTTTAAGTCTTGTTTAAGGGCTTCCTCGCTCTGGCTGTCTGTACTCATGGATGAGGAAAGGGGGTCTGGAGAGGCAAGAACCAGCAAATTCTTGCTCCCTAACTAGAACCAGAATAGTTTACCCCACCTTTGGGAGGTACCATGAACATAAGGTAACCAGCCTTGAAGAGTGTGGACAATCCAGTCCACTGAGAGAATCCCCGTCTCCACCACAGTTATAAAACTGCAGTGATATGCATGTTTGACCTTTCAACTCCAAGTTTCTATTCAGCTTCCTGGCAGGGGAATCCAGAGGTAAGGAAAATGGTCTTTGGTGAACAGATAGCAAGAGGAAAGGGAAAACATGCTGACATTTTAATCATGGAAAATGGAGTCAGTGTCCAGATAATACCTGTGACTGTTTTGCAAGAATGATCATAGAAAAACAATCACATAAAATAACTTCTCCCTGTAATTTTAGGGCGAGCACATCTCATTTCACTGTACTTTTTAATGGCTAGAAACGTATGGATAAAGTGAGTAGTGGGAAGGAGTAGTCCCCTAAAAGGAAATGACGTTAACAGCTTCTTTGTGCTCCCCACCTCCGACACTTGATAGGGCCACAATCCAGAGAAGTTGGAGTTGGCCACACAGAGCAGAGACCGGTGTCCTGTCTACAGCAGTGGGAACTGGCAGAGGGTAGCTAGGTTTAGGCTTTATCTTCCTGTGAATACAGATAACAAGAAGTGAAGGGGTTGAGATACAGTGGACCGCTTGTTTCGAGGATACTGGGGGAGAACAGGCCGCAGCCGGCCTGTTTCCCTGGAGGAAACGTCATTGTTTCGTTCCCATAGTGAAACTTTAGCCTAAGGAAACCGTTCTCCAAGAGTCCGCGGCTTTTGTTTATTTATAATGATGTAATTTCCTCTCCCTTTCTCCTTTTAGGTCTTTTTTTTTTTCCTCCTCCTCTTTGCTTTAAAAATAAAAAATACTTGTGCCACATTCCTTTTATTGATTGGATATTTTGCTGGAGATGTTGGTAGGGGAGAGTTATATCTTTCACGGACTAGGCCTTCACCCCCAGAGATGGAAGAGGTTTCATTCTTGGCTGTGGAGGGGAGTGGGGGGTCTCCACGTTGACCTCCAGGTTTCTGGTACCCACAGGCTGAAAATGACAGGTAGGGAGCAAGGCTCCTGTGGGGAGGAGAGGAGAGAGAATTGGGAACGTTCCATGAGCGGTTGGATGCGTGGATCTGAAGCTCAGCAGAAAGGCCGGGGAGGGCTGGAGGTAGAGCTGTGACTTGTCTTCGAAGAGATGGTCAGAATAAATGTGGTTTTCCAGGGGGACCCCAGAGGAAAGGGGTGAAGGGCTGGCAGGCGTTCGGTAGAAGCCCCAGAGGAGGCCTGGGGGACAGAGAACAAAGGCCTTAAAACCCCAGCTCTGACAGCAGTCTCCACCATGTCCCCCACCGCACCCCACTTCAGTGTGGAGGTGCCTCAGAGACAAGAGGCAAGAAGAGAAATTAGTAGAAGACAGAAAGGAACAAGCTTGGACGGCTCCTGAGACAAGGCAGGGACAGCCCAGACTCAGAAATAAGGAGGCAAGGACTCATTGGGAGCGTCTTTTCCTCCCCGTGGGATAAGGGGTTGCTGAGGAGAGCAGCCTGCCCCCTGTTAGGAAACTCTGCTGGCTCAGCCCCCAGACATGATGGGTTGACCTCCTGGACTTCCCCCAGGGTGGGGCTCAGCACTAAGGAAGTGGGTACTGAAAAGGGTGTGGAGTTCTTGGCTCTCGGCTGGCGCTCGCTCTCTCTCTCTCTCTCTCTCTCTCTCTCTCTCTCTCTCTCTCTCTCTCTCTCTCTCTCTCTCTCCCTCTCCCCCTCTCCCTCTCTCCTTCTCTCCCTCTCTCTCCCCCTCTCCCCCTCCGTCTCTCTCTTCCTCCCTCTTTTCCCTCCCTCCTCTTTTTAAAAACTCCAACCACTTTCTTTGGATTTACTGCATTCTGTGTTTATGATATTATGAAATACTTTTGTGGTGCACATCCTTTACATCTACTAGTTCATTCACTTGTTACTGTAACTTTATAATAAAACATATTTATTTTATTTGTTTAACTTTTTTTTTAAAGACAGGGTCTCTTGTAGCCCAGGCTTGTCTGGAACTGTTGTGTAGCTGAGGCTGGCCTTGAACTCTTGATCTTCCTTCGTCTACCTCCCAGGACTGGGATGAGAAGTGTGTACCAGGATCTACTCAACCTGTTATTTTGGTGCCTGTCTTATCTAGGAGGAAAGTGAAGCACAGAAAGATTTAGTGACCTGTCTGAGGCCACGGAGCTGGGGACTGGGATGCTTGATTTGGGGCTCAGGCACTTTGGCCTGAATCCATAATTCTCTTACACAACTGTCTGGAAATAACAAACCTGAGTATTGTTAGGTAATCTGTGCCTATATTTCAAAATTGAGAAGCGAAAGAGAATCTTATCCGTCACTATCCTTTCCATTAGAGTTTTGCGATTCTAATTCTAATTGCTGAGACATAGTCTACCTTTTCTTTTAACCCGTAGAGACTGTTTACATGCCATCGGTGGAAAGCAGTGAACAGTTGTTTAGTAGTTGGTGGTAGAAATACATATGTGCATGTGGTCCCGGCACTTGGGAAACTGAGGCAGGAATACCACGAGTTTGAGCAGAGGCTGCCCTAGGTAACACAGCAAGTTCAAGGCCAGCTATGTACATGTCAAGACTCTGCCTCAAAACACCTGAGCCAGGGGATGTGGAGAGAGCTCACTCGTTCAGTAAAGTATGCACTGTGCAGGCGTGAGGACCTGGGTTCCCCCCTAAAATACATATCCACAAGCCAAGGGTGGTGCTACAGCTTGGAATTCTAGTTCGGGGAGGAGAGACCGAAGCACCCCTGGTCCTCAGTGGCTAGCTGACTCAGCCGACTGGGCAAGTCCCAAACCAGGAAGAGACCCCGTCTTAAAAAAGAAAGTGAATGGGCCTGGCGGCCGTGGTGTGGCGCAAACCTTTAATCCCAGTACTAGGGAGGCAGAGGCAGGAGGATCTCTGTGAATTCGAGGCCATCATGGGCTACAGAGTGAGATCCAGGACAGGCTCTAGGACAGGCACCAAAACTACACAGAGAAACCTCTGTCAGGAAAAACCAGAGGGAGAGAGAGAGAGAGAGAGAGAGAGAGAGAGAGAGAGAGAGAGAGAGAGAGAGAGAGAGAACGAGAACACGAGTGAGTGGTTCTCAAGGAACGATGCCTGAAGCTGACCTCTAGCCTCTATGCATGCACATGCTCTCACTCCCTGCCCCCCCCCCCAAATAAAACAAAAGCTGTTTGCTGATTCTTCTCAGTCTTGGTCATGAGTCTGTTCTCTGCCATTCTCCCATAGGTAGGACGTAGGTAGGACATAGGACGTCTGCTGTCACCCCATTGTGACGTTTTGTAGTGTCCTGTTGGGGCTTTCAGTTTAATTTTTGGGTCTGGCTGTTGAAAGACTTTCATTTTCTTACAGCTGAATTGTTCTCACAAACTTAAAACAGAAAGTGAGTTTTGCATTCCTGTTTCTCTGCTGCTAAAGCGAAGTCCTTCTGATTGGTTCCCTTGGGGACTGAAGGGGTTGTTAATGTGTTTTTCCACAATAATCAACATACTGCTTACTTGCTGAAGAATAGGTTCCTGATACGCTGTTGATAATTTTCACAGCCAGTTAATAGAATCATACACAGTTTTCCAAAACAGAGTTAACTCTGGCTTGGTGTGGCAGAGCGGAGCCAGTTTTATGGTTAGAGGACAGAAGTTCTTTTTTTTTTTTTTGGTTTTTCGAGACAGGGTTTCTCTGTGTAGCTTTGCGCCTTTCCTGGAACTCACTTGGTAGCCCAGGCTGGCCTCGAACTCACAGAGATCCGCCTGGCTCTGCCTCCCGAGTGCTGGGATTCAAGGCGTGCGCCACCACCGCCCGGCCCAGAAGTTCTTACATTGGGAAGAATCTTGAATCACAGTTTCCCAGGCTCTTCAGTGTCTTTCTTGATGAACTTACGGAAATGCAGAGCGCTCAGCCTGCATGCCTCTGGGGGGGATGTTCAGAGGACCAGAGAAAAGCTGGGGTCAGTGATGCCCCATTCTGAAATCACAAGCTGCTTTCGTGCCCTGCACCAATGCCAACCAGGCATTAAAGCTGTCAGAATCACTCTCCTGAGATGTCTTAGAGGTTCTAGCTAAAGGACACTGTGAGCAGAGGCATGTGAGGCTGATGCCTAGGGGCCGGTACAAGTGGCTGTGTGCGGCTGGGACAGAGAAAGGGAGCTGAGGCCGGAAGGTCAAGGTCCTGTCTCTGAGGGCAGAGTGAATCACCCATCGCGTTTACTGAAAGACTGTACCAACCTGCAGGAGCTTTGAAACTAAAACGTGAAATTGAAAATGTGTTTTTAAAAAACGTTCTTCTGCATTCTAGCTACAAGCCTATAGTGGAATACATTGACGCCCAGTTTGAGGCCTACTTGCAAGAGGAATTGAAAATCAAACGGTCTCTCTTCAACTACCATGACACGAGGATTCACGCCTGCCTTTACTTCATCGCCCCCACAGGACATTCACTGAAGTCCCTGGACCTGGTCACCATGAAGAAGCTAGACAGCAAGGTACTGGATGTGGCTCCATCCCCCGGTCAGCCTTTCCCTAAGGCCCCAGGTTATTTATGGAATGCGTGTGGCTGGCTTTTGTTAACGCTTTCTTTTCTCCTAGATTATGGAGATCGGGTTTGGCCAAATAAGATAAGTGTTGAAAATCCTCTTCTGAGTGTTAGGAGAAGATAAAACTAGCCCACGAAACTACACTTAGTTCTTAAATTGGGGACTACATTTATTTGCCCTCCTGGAGGTCTATAAAGCACTGGCTTTAATTTGAATTTAGAGCAGTATCAGATTTTAACGTTTTGCCTACTTGAGGACACTCAGCCTTTCAGATTTTAGCACTACACTCACCTCAACAGAAAATAAAGTCCGTGTTTCATTGTTGGCCCTGGGCCTGCCGTGTTTGTAGCCTCTGTTTTTACAGCTCTTGAAGGAAGGGCTCTTTGGTGTGATAAAATCTAATGTCCAATTTTGTAATTAATTCATTTTCTGTTTTGAAATGAACAGAAAGCAGTGTGTTCTGAATGAGATGATACAAAAGGTGTCAAGAAAAACCACAAACTACCCCGTGGTACCTTCTCGACTCTAACCCCCTTTTGCACTCAGTGGAGAGTCTTACTGGATGATAAAAGCTTTAGGATGTATATTGGGTGTACCCCTAACCCCCCAAAATCAACTGTTTAAAAGATTCTTTCTCTGCCGAGAACTGAAGCATAGAGAGAATGAATGTGCAGCAATCAACCTGTCCCAGGCTCCTCTCTGGACCAGCCAGGCTCCTTGGGCTTCCAGCACCCAAGGGCATGGTGCTTTACAGAAAGACACTCTACTGGTCTTAAAGCATTATTATTATTATTATAATTATTACTATATTATTACTATTACTACTACCACCCACCCACCCACCCACCGACGGTAGTCGGCAGGCACAACGGAGGGAGGGCTTTGCCCCTCGGGTCTGATCAGGCGCTTGCTCTGCCGTCGGGGATGCTCCCCTTACCTGGAGGAAGCCCGAGCCCATGGGGGTTGTTTGGGAGGAGAGGGGGTGAAGACAAAGACCTTGTCAGCACATCTCTTGCTCTGGTTCATCAGGAGTTTCTGATTTGGCCCTTGGAGGAGAACAGCAAAAAATTCAAATGTGACTGAAAGACAGTGAGCTCCTGAGCTGGGGCGGAGAGTGTAGTCTAGACACAGATGTCAGTACCATTCACTAAAACCCCTGTGAACCCCTGCGAGGAAGAGGGAGAATGTTCATCTTAAATCATGAACTGAAAAAAAAAAGCCATTTCTGTCATCCCAGCACTCAGGAGGTGGACACAGGAGAATCAGGAGTCCCAACCAGCCTGAGCACAGAGTGGGTTTGCGGCCGGCTACGTGAGACCCTCTCTCGAAAAGACAAGCGAACCGTGTCCTTTGGACAAGGTTGGGGAGTTGGAAACAGTGTCCCACCTTGGGGCTTTGCGCCGGCCTTCCGGTGTGTCCTGGGCTCTTACCCTGGGCTGCCATTAACGTCAAACTCCGAATGCTCCCGTCTTTATGCAGCTGAGACTCAGGAAGTGAGCCTTGCTGTTTTTGAGCCAGGGTCTCCTGTAGCCCATGCCAGCGTCAGACTTAAGTGTGTAGCTGAGGCCGGCCTTGGATGCTTCAACCTCCTGGCCCTGCCTCCTTGGAGCTGGGATTATGTGTGTGTGCCACTGTGCTCAAGCGAGCCTTGATTTTGAGACTGAAAAGGCCGATTGATTGAAAATGGTTTTCAAAAGAATTAAAAACTCTGAGTTTGGAAATTTACAACATAGGTAATTAAAAAGTATTGTATTTTATTTATCATTTTTTTACTTTGGTTTAATACTTGAATCCCCCAGAAACTTTCGGGCCATCAGAAGAAAGGAAAGGGGGTCCTGCGTAGCACCGATGATGCTCTGCTTCCCCAGTGCTTTGTGGGCGTGCAAAAGTCAAGCCCCTGAAAGGGGCGGCTGTCTATCCCAAGAGTGGCCTGACTTCCTTGCTGCCACTGTTTGTGGCGGAGTGCAGACACTTCCTTTTACTCTGTAACGTGGGAGGCGGTGCGGAGAGGAAATCACCAGTGTCAGTGTGGGATGCGAGGAAGTCAGCGTTCAGGGGGTGAGCGGAGACCGAGGCTGCGGCTGACTCTCACGTCTTAGGCAGCCTGATGGTCAGCGCGGCCTGCATTCACTCCTCTTACGGTGCTGCCCTGCAGCTTTGGTTTCGTGGCCGCGTTTTTCACCGTCTAGTTGTCTTTCCTGCGGCGGGATTGTGTGAACACGGACGTGCTTGCTTTGCAGGTGAACATCATTCCAATCATTGCAAAAGCTGACACCATTGCCAAGAATGAGTTGCACAAATTCAAGAGTAAGATCATGAGTGAACTAGTCAGCAACGGAGTCCAGATCTATCAGTTCCCCACAGACGAGGAGACGGTGGCCGAGATCAACGCAACGATGAGTGTAAGTCGTCGGTCAGCTGGGGACCGGAGGGAGGCCTTCCGGGAAGCTGGGGTAGTGACCGTGTGGCAGGCCTTCCGGGAAGCTGGTGTAGTGGCCACGTGGCAGCGTGGCTGGAAAAGCCTGCACAGAGGTCTTCAGTGGGACTCCAGCTCTGCTGTTTACCTATTTATTTACCTATTTTGGGGAGTTACAAGTACTTTTCTTTTTAGATTAATTTTTAGTGTGGCATTTCACTAGCCGCTGCCTCAGTTTCCCCAGCTGTCAAGTGGGAAGGGTAGGCAGGATTATTTCAGCTTTCTCTCCTCTCTGATTTCTATGGGGAGTCCTCTGGGCATGTGACACGGGTCCAGGACCTCATACAAAGCAGTTCAAGGGGAGGAGCCCCCACTCTGTCCCGCTGGCGGAAATCTGGCTGCCTGCCTCCCTTTGCCTCGGTACCGGCTTCTCCTCTGTGCGGTTTCCCTGTGCTTTCCTGGATCTGTAGGTAAACCGGAAGGTGAGGGATGCTGCCCACGGCAGCCAGCGAGGTAGCTATCAGGAGATAAAGGCGCTGTCTCAGCCCTTTCGTCGTTTTCAGGACCAGGTCTCTTCTAGCCCAAACTGGCCTCAAACTCAAAGTATAGCCAAGGCTGCCTTCAAACTTTTGATCCTCCTGCCTCAGCCTCTTGAGTGCTAGCTAGGGTTATTGGTATGAGTGGATCAGTTGTTTCCCCCCACCCCACCCCACCCATAATTTATTTACCTATTTTGGGGAGTTACAAGTACTTTTCTTTTTAGATTAATTTTTAGTGTACAAAAATAATGGGTTTCAAAAGTCTATGTCATACTTTGCTCATGTTAACCCCTACTTGTGGAGAGCCGAGGAAGCCCAGAGTGAGTGTGCAAGGAGCTATTGAAGTCTTGAGGGGATGTGTATTGTTGGCATGGGGGTGACAATATCAAAGACCTACGCCTTAGTTTCATAAGAATGGCAATGCTGTTGCCACCCCTTCCCCACCTACCCTCTACCCCCCTCCCCTGCCTGAACCATGAAGCTCAGAGGAACGGCAAAGCCTTTCTCTAGTCTGAGTGTGAATGTGGACAGTGTGTACAAGTGTAACTAACAATTGACTATTTTTTTTTTAGAAATTTTATTTATTTATTATGTATATAGTATTCTGCCTGCACATATGTCTGCAGGCCAGAAGAGGGCGCCAGATCTCATTACAGATGGTTGTGAGCCACCATGTGGGTGCTGGGAATTGAACTCAGGACCTCTGGAAGAGCAGTCAGTGCTCTTAACC